TTGTAGAATGGTTAACAGACAGGTAATTAATATATCCTTTAAACTGATTGAGTTATTCTATGTTTTTCTTACAGTCCTTTGAGTTGAATCTATCTTTTAGGTTGATTTACCTTTTACTGTTGTTAGTCCAAGTATCCATTCCACATGTGTAAAACATCATCTATGATATATCCACCATTTTATCTTATTGTAGTGATCTGAAATTTAAACACATCTAATTATGTCATCTCTCCAGCAAAATATGCAATTTTACATGTGCATTTTCAATTTATCATTTATTCTCCCTCTCTTCATGCGGGCATTTATGAATCCGGTATAATCAGTGGTAAGCTGAGTGATACACAATTATTAGTTTGTCAACCATACAGTTGATTAAGCTTAAGCTATTAAGTGAAGGCATTTGGATGGTTTTATTATAATATCCAACACAATGCACTAGCTTCATGGAGAGCTCTTTGGAATTGAGTGCGGATAAGGCATGAGCATAGCATGAAACTCCTGAGTGCTATGGGCCTAATGCATATCAGCCAATAAGAGTGGCAGGAAATTTGGGAAAGTACACTAATTGTGAGCCTGAAAGTTAAAAATTGGTGTATTTTTTGTTCTTCTCACACGGTTGTTATTTTCATTTGCTTTCAGCTATCTATACAAAATATAATGTTCACTAATGACATGCAATGTCTTTCTGGATGTTACTTTTATCAAAATCGCAAGGTTTATGGGGTGTTATTTCTTGCCCTGAAGAAGTACTTGACTCTTTGAATGTAGCTTCCTTTTTTTCTTTTTTTTCCCCAAATTGATATTCAGGTTGCCACAATTGCATGGCTTGAAGCTGATTCTGTTTGTGGTAGCCATTCAAGTGCAATACCGATGGTACTCATGCTCCCTTATCTCTGGCGTCTATTACAGTGTCTTCGACAGTACAAAGATACTAAGGAAAGAACATGCCTTTTTAATGGTAATAGTTCTTGGTTACTTTTTCCCTTGTGCCTATAACTGATTAGCATACTTTTTCCTGGCTATACTTTCTTTCAATTTACCTTGGATTTTTTGAAGCTATAAGGATTTGGTTCAAAGCAAAGACTAAAGACTTAGCTTTTTAAACACTTTCTTTCCACAGATGAAATAAAAATTTTATTGTGTGCATAAGCTGAGTTTTAATGGAATTCCCCCCGGCCCCCAAACAAAAAATCCTTTTGGCTCCATATGTATTTTGTATTCGCATCTGTATTTAATGCTGGTTTTTTATGAATATTATCTTGCCAAGTTTCCAGACGAGGAACTTTATTTTATATTCATTGAGTGAGGTATTTTCCTAGTTTATAAGATTCTCTACTGTTTTGTATAGAATTTTACCATTATTTGCACATTTTTATCTTTTTCTGCTAGAATCTTTTATTGCGTATTTGCATAGCACATAGTTTGATTTTGAATCTTTCAGTTTCCATTTAGATTAACGGTTGTAACTTTGGTATTCCCATCATACTCTTCCTCTAACTCCCATATATATCTGTTTTTCAGCATTGAAATATTCAACAGCTTTCCCAGTGATTTTTCTTTCAGCCCTTAAATATCATGTATTCCCTGAGAAGTGGACATCTCTTTATCGGCCACTTTGGCTTCTCTCGAGTGTTGTTAATTCTCTCTATTCATTCTACTGGGATATTACTCGAGATTGGGATTTAAGGTACCTCACATGTAATCTCTTTCTTTCAGACTAGGAGCAGCAGACCTTGCAATTTTCGAAGATTTATAAATACTACAACTACTATTATTTTTTATGAACTTATGATGTAAAGAAATTCAGTTTTCTTGACTTTTAAGATAACTCGTGTTATAACCTACATTGAAGAAGGGAAGGGTGGTTGATCCATGCTATATGCCGGAAGTTGGTTTGAAAATAGGGGATAAGACTTAAATGGAATTCTTTCACAATGCTTGATATTAAGCTCTCTCCGTTTGAGATGTAAGATACATTCATGTTTTACGGTTTAGCTGTGCCCTGTTGATTCACTGAACAAAGTTTTGCCATGTGCCATGATTCCGGACTAGATAGCAATAGATGTGTTACAGTTTAGCTGTGTCCTATTGATTCACTGCACAAAGTTTCGCCATGTGCCATGATTCCATTGGACTAGATAGCAATCACTTGAAAATTGCACCTGAATATGTCACATTCATTTCATTTATGTTCATGTTAAATTCACTCTGCTTCACAAGCTATATTGAGATGCATTTTCCTTGTTTTACAGTAACTTTTCTCGCATATTCAGGTTCAACACAAAACTCTGATTTCCAACCTGTTTTATGGGAGAAAATGGGTAAGAATGAGATCCATTTAGTTTCAACGGATTAGAAGGTCATGACTGTATTTGGCCCAACTTGGCTTGAACCCGCCTAAGGACCTTCTCAACTTTAGGTGGGAAAGCATTATCATTTTGAGTAAATTTTGACTGTTCTCTTGATATGGGCGCTCATATCTATTAAGAATAACTTTTATTTTCAATGAAAGAAGAAATTTAGCCCATGTACATTGGCTAGATGGTAAGACAAGGAATTGGGTAAAAAAGAGCCATTTTTTCATCTTAAATGAAGGGAATCCGAATTCCTTAATCCTTATACCTAACCCTGTGTTAATTAGGCCTGGGCTCAAGTTTTGTAGGGTTTGGCATTGCTTGGAGTCTGGTACTGCTTGGGAGAGATCCCTCCTTCTCACAAGTCTTGTTGTTTTTAACTTGCAGATATACTTTGGGTAATTGGAAGCAACTTCCTCCTGCGCTGCTCCTGGACATATAAACTGTCTGCCCATCTTCGCCATAACTACCTGACAGTGTTTACAGTTACTGCTCTGGAAATGTGCCGGCGTTTCCAATGGGTGTTTTCGTGTGTAGAAAAAGAGTGGAATAAGATGACTCGGTCCAGTGTTCAGCTTACGGAAATCCCAAGAGAAGAGGAGAAGTTGCTAGGCTCTGACAATCATCAAGTATAGGGAGGCCGAGTCCCTCCAAATTTTGTCGAGATTTTCTTTAGATTCAACACCACCCCCTTTTTTTTTTTTTTTTTACTTCTAGGCTCAAGCGGTTGAGGCATGCCTTGCACGAGAAAGGTGCATTCGTATTCCATTAATTTGATAGATATATAATATATGTAGGCTCATTATCGTAAAATTAGATATCAGTTCATTGCCATTGACTAGTGAAAATATACTTTCAATTTCAGCTTTAGTATATGAAGTTTCAATCGTCCAAAGTACTGGCAGGCTGTATTTTAAGACACTTTTATGTGTTATCATTTGGTTTATTTAAGAACTCAAGGCATGCGAGCTTTGCTTCGCTCGCTGCAACAGAGTATCCTTCAATATATTCCCTTCATGTCTTAATATGTGATCAACTCTCACCGGAGAAAATATAATTCATGTGCTACCTCCGGTTTTTGGAGAAATTAAAGAAATTAGTTAAGTTTGTCTTTACTAGAATACCTTTGCTTATCATGTGTATTAGTTAAAACCATCAGGTAATGAAATTTTTGACATGTGTAAATACTACAAAAAGTACCTTGATAAAAATAGACAAATATGAAAAATAGAGTAGATTGAAGTCTTATATTTAAGATAAAATTAAAAGCCAAACTAATTTTTATATTCAGGATGGAAAATAATATTAAACAAGGAAAGTATTATGTCCCACGAACGCGTATCCTCTTATGGCTTTAGGGGAAATCGAACAAAATCCTACCGGCACTTCAGATGATAAAATTAAGAGGAACAGACATGGCTGGGACTACTCGAAAGATACCCATTTAAGTGCGTAACGTGACTGGGTGGTGGGAAGTTAATAAGCAATGAGGCAACCCTTTCAAACAGGTCGAAAGCCACGAAAGAAAATAAAGTAAGAAGTCCAAAAAAGAAGGAAGGAAAAATCCAGATTCATCGCAATTAGATACGTAAAAGAAAAACTGAATATCAAAGGAAGGATTTGATCGCATACATAATCATACTTTTTTATAACATACATACACCTTGAGATTCACTTTTATCACAGAGTAGGAACTGAACTTCACTTTGACGGATATTTCAATTGCTATCTTAAACCAGAAAAAATCTCACTCCACACTGACAAGATCTTTGCACTATACCACGCCTCTTGAAATGTTCTTTTTCCCTACATATTTTGAGCTGATTTGATGAGATTTTCTAACCCTTTTTTTTTTTTTTGGTCAGCTGAGAGTTTCTCTAACTTCCCCACCAGTCCACTTACACGCTACTTGACTCGATGCCTCAAATGTAAATATCTTGAGAACAGGTCACGAAAAGTTAGGCCTGAAATTAAAGCGTCTCTTATTTGTCTTTTTATTTGCAGATATCAGGCTCCAATCGGCAGCCTTCCCACTTTCAGGATTACTCTAATGCCCTATGCTTTGGCACCACCCAGACCCAATAGAGGAGACTTTGATTGTTTTACAGTGACGTAAACAAATATATTGGCGGAAAAATTATATAAACAAATATGAATGTCTGATACTACTACTTCTAATTCTTAATATAAGAGTTAATTAACTAATTTAAATAGATTTAAAAAGTTTGTTAAGCTAGTTATTTATAATAAATAGATGTTATCTGTTCTAAAATATTATTGTTAATCATGTGTTTAGCTAGAACTGTTATTTGATGGAACCTTTAACATGTACGGCTACTATACGAACTACGTTAAAAAAATAGATAAATATGAGAGACAACGTGAATCAGGATCTTATTTTTAGAACAAAATTGAAAATCAAACTAACTCTTATATTAAAGACTACAGATAGTACTTTTTTTTAAAAAAAAAATACTCATTCACTATTTCTTCTTCATTTCTTTCTTATTACGGATATTATGGGCAGTGATTTATTTACAGTAAAAAGTTTCAAAATCAATGAACACGAGTAAGTTTAATTCACTAATCTTATCCTCGTTTTTTTCGTTCCTCGTACTCAACGTTTATCATTTATTTGCCCGGAAAATGAGAGGAAAAAAAAAAGATAAGAAATTTATTGTACATACACAAATGACTTTCACTTTCATCTCCCGATTTACATTTTGTTGCTAATTAATTACTTTCGTAATTGACCTTTTTATATCTTTTTAATATCCATCACCGTCTAATCAATCAATTAGGTCTTATTTTGAATTAACGTGTCAATGATATAATTATATTTATTTACCATAATCTTCATTTCTAGTAAAAACTTGATGAATTTAAAATTAACTAATTCGTTTCCCTTGTTTCTTAGAGTTAGTATATTAGAATAGAAAATAGGCAAGGACTGATCAATTCTTAAAAATGAGAATATTAATTTTATCATTATAAGATTGAGGAAAAAAACTGTAACTGGAGCAAAAATAAAATAAGATAAATTATTTAATTTCAAAGAACAAAGCTAGATGGAACAAAACACAATGCCCCTATAAATTTTGAATCATGTGCAGATAATTTCTGAATTTATTTGACAATATATTCTGTAAACTTTTTAATTTGTGCATATGTCTTGCTCGTGTTAAGTAGCACGTCACTGATAGTGCCCCTTTTTTTTTCCCCTGTGCAAATAAGCGTCTTGAACATCTGAATCACTTTCATAAACTTAACTCGATTCATCATCATATTACATTTCATTGGTAAAATATGGATTAGTCAACAATAAAATAATTGTTTTGCATAAATCGTCAATTTTTGGAGAGATTCGTTATCAATTTTTACATATTAAAAATATTATTTGCTCCTCGCATAACCAAAAATTGAGAAGTTCAAGCGGGACTTGGAAGAAAAAGTTAAGACTATAATCCGCTTTGAGAAATATCATATTGAATTCTTCTGATTTTATTTATTAATCAATTCCAACGTATTTGATCATAATCAAGAAAAATTTTAAATCTTATTAACTTCATTAAAATTTAATAACTTTTTAATTTATCCCTCCTTAGTATGTACTTTTTTTTAAAGAAAATTAGTAAATAACAGTAAAACAGTACAAAATACTCTTCTCTTTTTATTTATAAGTCAGTTTCAACATGTTTTTCATAGATCAAAGAAAACCTTAAATTTCGTTAACTCCAATTTAAAATTCAATAAGCTTTTAACTTTATTTCTATTTAATATATATTATACCTAATATAAACAAAATCAACGTCATAATAAATTAAGAGTAAAATTGTATGTTTATACAAAAAATTTCTATTACTACCTTACAAATAGAAGTAAAAAATATCTTATCCTTCTTATCCATAGGAATACTAATAAATATGGTCCCTTTCTGAACGAATAAATGAATTATCGGGGCACACTTTTTCATCCGCTAATAGCGGCGCAGCAGCATGAACCCGCCGAGTGGCCACATGCACAAACATCCGAAGATTCTTTAAAGAACCAAAATTGTGGGAAAAGGTGAGACCATATGCATTTTCATTATTTATTGGTTCTTTTATCTTATTTATAAGACAGAAAAAAATATTTTTTTAGTTCTATTTATAAGGTATTAAAAAAAATTTGTATGAATATATAACTTTACTCTTCATTTATTATTGTGTTGATTTTATTTAGATGAGGTATAATGTATATTAAATAAAATTAAAATTAAAAATTATTGAATTTTAAATAAGAGTTAATAAAATTTAAGATTTTTCTTAATCTATCTAAAACATACTGAAAATAATTTATAAATAGAATAAAAAGAGTATTTCAAATTCGGATAACTTCGCCCAGAAAGCAGATTATTTGATGTAAATTCAAATATCATATCATGGTTATAGGACCTGAGAACTGAACCCCCCATTAAAAACCGAATATAATACATTGAATATTTAAAAAACAAATTCCCAAAATTATCCCAACAAAGTAGACCTTTTAGTAAGTATTGGTCCTTTAAAGCAGCATCCTATCATGTGTTGACGCGAAAAGGTCTACTTTTGGGACTTTCTCTGTTTACGCCTGATCGTTACGCCACAGAGGGGGGGGGGGGGAATTTTATTTAATTGTGTATATTAATTAGAATTATTATTTAATAAAAATTTTAATATATGCAACTATTATAATAATTATTTTTTAAAAAAAGATAAATTTAAAAGACAAAATAAATTAGGATTTTATATTTACGATTAAATTAAATATTAAACTAACTCTTATATTACCTTCGGTCCGTAATATAAAAGATAATTGACTGATTTAAATAGATTAAATGAGTTTGTTAAGTTAGTTATTTGTAATAAATAATATCTCTAGTCCGTAATATATTATCTGATTTGATTTTTATTTTAGTCTTAAATATAAAACCTCAATCCACTTTGTTTTTTATATTCGTCTATTTTTTCCAAGGTACTCTTTATAATAATGATAATTCTAACTAATACACTTGATTATCAAAGATATTCTAGTAAAGACAAATACTATTTATTACAAATAACTAATTTGACCAGTTTTTTTAATCTACTTAAATTAGTCAACTAACTTTTATATCAATGTCAGAGGTAGTAGGTACTCCTCCGGTCCTTAATATAGGACCCAATTTTTGAGTTGGTTTTGGTCCTAAATATAAGACCCATTTCTCATATTTATCAATTTTCTCTAAATTACCCCTATAGATACTTCCTCAACCATAATTAAGTAAAAGAGAGAGGGGGTATTAAGAAAAATGATTATGGTGTTTTAGGAAAAATGTGTCAATTTTCTTATAATTAACTAACTTACCTAACTTCCTTAATCTAATCAAATTAGTTAAATGGGTCTTCTATTAAGGATCGGAGGAGTATTATTTTTTCCAAAATACTCTTGCTAACTATGTATATTAGTTATAACTATTACTTTATAAAATATTTAACATATACAACTACCACAACAACTACTTTAGAAAAAAATGAATAAATATGATAAACAAAGTGGATTGAGATTTTATATTTATGACTAAATTTAAAGTTATACTAGTTATTATATTAAAGACAAGAGATAGTAGTGCTTTATATAAAATACCACATCATAGATAACCAATTTGGGGATATTAAAAAAATTAGGTAAAATGGTTATTTGTCATAAATATGCATTGATCTTTCTAAATTATTCTCTTCAATTACTTGTATTAGATTATTAAAATTATTCTTTTGGTAAAAACCCTTTACAATTAATAAGAATATTTTAGAAAAAAAAAGAGAAATAAAATAGATTGAGATATTACATTTAAAGCCAAAACTATCCCAAACTAATTCTTATATTAAGCAATAAAATAATTAAATAGTGAGACTTTGAATGCTGAACATATTCACACAATTCCATATAAAGATTAGAGAGTCACATGTTCCTAGCCTGCAGAAGGGGAATTTAGATTCTTTCTGTAATAAATAAAATAAAATGACATCTTAAAATAAAAAGGTTAAATTGTAACATAAATTTTCAAGACCGATGCAGCGTCATTTTTCTAAAATAATTTACCTGCGTTTTATCAAAAAAAAAAAATTACCTGCATTTCTTTCATTATTAATATTATTTTTGTCCTTTCACCAAAAATAATGGCTTACCCGTTAGTGTGGATGGGGATACTTTTTTGTCAAAAAAAAAAAATGTTGCTGTTAAATTAAACTAACATTACTCATGTTTTTAAAGATTATGAGCCATACTACTCACAGTTAATTGAGAAAATTTAAAAAAAAAAAGCCTTTAACAAGATTAAAAAAATAATTAGATGAAAATCAAATTATAATTTTATGACATATAAAATAAATATATAATAAGAGTTTTAGCTCCATTTGTTTGTATACTTTCGGCAAAAGCAAACCCCATGGAACAAGGAGAGAAATACGAGCGAAGTGAAAATTTTAAAGGGAAAATGACAGAAAAAGGACGGTTGAAATTTGAAATGACAAAATGGGTATACAAATAACTGAAATGACCAAATGGGTATGGGGTATCAATTTGGAATTTTGTCAATTCGGTAGAAAGACTAAAATACCCTCAACCTCTCTGAAGATATGAACTGCAAAGAAAACAATAATATACCAGAAGAGAGAGAGGCTGAGAAGACGAAACTAGAACAAGGGTGGAAATCTGGAAAGAGGGAAAATGTAAGCAATTTTTCTGTTAAAACGCTAGTATCACCCGATTTCTTTGTTGCTGCATGCTCAAATGGGGATGGGTTTGTGAGTGTAAAGGGTTTGGATGAAGAATTTCACCAGGACGAGAGAGTGACGCGTCGGAAATGGAAAAATGGTGACAAACAGTAAGCATGAGGTGGTCAGTGTTGTTAAATTCATTACTGAAATTGTAAAATCCTATATTTAAGTTGTCAATGGAGTAAGTGGGTGTGTGTATTTTTTGGGTGTTTCGAAAGATAAATGAAATTGATTATTGGGTAACTAAAATATTGATTTATGCTTCTTTGTTGCAGGTTAGCAGGCTTTGATGACATCTGACACTGGGTC